AGGAGAGCTTGGCTCGTAACAAGGCGCGGTCTGTATCCACAGCTGTTGACCAGTAAGAGCGGCAGTCTTGAATTGATCCCCTCCAGCGGTAACTGATGACGATGTGGTCGATTTGAATTCAGCGCAGTGAAGAGGTTGGCCGTTTCCATGTAAGTCGATGACGTTTCTTGTGCGAGAAGTTCGTATTTGACATGAACAATTTACGGTCCGTGCAGAGTTGAAGTAGGCGATCTCTGTTGTCCGTCCGGTTGGCTGGGATTGCATGTGGTCCGCCAAGAAGCCTTTCTGATTCGTCTAGGGATCCCACTTGAGCATTGAAGTCTCCGGCGACTACTACGACGTCCGTCGATTGAGCACTTTGGAGCAGTTGAGAAAGATCCTGGTAAAATTCATCCCTGATTTCAGGTATTCTGCAATCGATCGGTGCATACGCCGATACGACGACTAAACATCGACGCTTCATTCTGTAGCTGTTGACTCCAACTGAACCGTTGAGACGTACAGCGCATAATCGGCTACTGACTAGAATCCAGTCAAGAGGCGAGCGCTCAGCCTTGGCACTTAGCGCAATCCCGACACCAGCAACACCGCGAGCTTCGGATGCCGAATCGCCTGACACGCGAAGGGTGAAGCGTGAGATTGAGGTTGGATCAGGGGAACACAGAGAGATAATGGAAGTGGGGTCTTGTATGCGTGTTTCGGAGACAACATACATCTACATTGAAAGTTTCGAGGGTTCTAGCCAGGGCAGCTTGTTGGCTAATTTGATAGAGCGTGCGGACATTGAACGCGGCTAAGTGAAAAGGGAATTTTGGCTTTAAAAGACCAATAGCTTCTGATTGTCTGGCCTTGATGGTAAAACGCTGAGTGATTTTTGATGGATATTGTAAACAGGAGGCATCTGGGATTAATCGGGGTTGAGTAGAAGAACTAGACAGATGGGAAACATGGTTGTCCAAATGGTATATATTTGTAGACGAACAATCTGTTTTTTTGTGCCCGTTCGAGTATTTCTCTTTGGATATATATTGTTGATTCTCCTCAGAATTATTTTGTGTTGTTTCGACTCATTGCCCACTCTATCGCTTCTTATTTGTCCAGTTGACATTCGTTTCGTTCTAGTTATCGATTTCTTACATAATCAAACGAGTGCGTAGTTCTCCCAGTTTCTGACACGTATATGGACATGCAGACACACCGCTCACTCGTATAATCTCAACCACACGAGTCCTCTTGTGACCTCCATTGTCCCTTACTATTGGTTGACCTATGTTTCATTTACCCTTGTTCTGTACCGGTTCACCGCTTATCCTTTATCGATTATTTAACCACCTATGCATATGTGACCTGTTTTGATGGCCCCTTCGGAGTCATCTGTTCATGTACACACACAAACACACATGCACTCACGCATGCCTGTCATTGTTTGTTAAGAGGTCGAATTGCGTGCGCCCAACCCTCTTACGTTTGCCACATCTTTGGGGAGCGTCATGTCACTGCCTGACTGGACTTATTTTGTTTGACTCTGTATACTTTGATCATATTCTTTTTGACACAGTGGTGAGCTGTCCCCTTTTGAAGCACCTTGATTGTAAGGCGTATTTCGACACAGCCGAGCGCTGTCATATTCCTATTTGATGCTCTTATATCTGGAAGTGCCTTGACGACTGCCCTAATCCAGACACCTCACGAATCAAGGTTTGTATATTATTTATCATGTTATTAATTAATTCGCATTAATAGCACCGTATCACGATACAGTTTTGGTTTTAAGTGCATTTGAACCAGGACTTTGCGCGTCACTTGTCGCCAGGTTTAACAGGGGAAGGCAGTCCACTCAAGGTCCATCTCAATAAAAGGAGGAGACTATGTGCATATGGGCCTAGCTGCGGCATTATACCAAGCTCTAGAGAATCGTATTTTGGATCCCTCAAAGCCTATTTTGCTGCAAATAGCAACTGACGGAAGATCGGTATTCCACAGCTCACGTTTACAACTCTGGTCAATACGAGGTCGTGCTCTTTGCCTACAAAGTAATGTTCTCCTCATCGGCATTTACTCCGGCATGTTGAAACCGCAGGATGTCATGGAATATTTAGCACCGTTAACGTACGACATCCAACGAGGGTACCGAGGGTTCGATGATTTCGAACGATGGAAAGCCACAGAATTCTGACAGTTTGTACTGTATTTGGGACCGATCATCCTAGCTGACATTTTGGGAGCGAAGTACCAAAATTTTTTGAACTTCTCAATTTGCTTTTACCTGCTTTCACACTGCGTAATGCAGTTACTACGCTGCCTCTATTGGTGAAATGATTCGCAGCCTACTGAATCAGTTCGGAGCGCTATACAGTGAGCAAGAATTTGGGTACAACACGCACTGCTTAGTTCATCTTCCGGACGATGCACTACTTAGAGGCGCACTGGATAACTATTCAGTATCTCCCTTCGAGTCGTACATGGGTGGGCTGCGAAGGATGGTTAAATCTCCACGAATGCCTGCGGAACACATGTTCCGCAGAATTATGGACAGGAGCATGGATACAACCTTCGCTATCGGAGGCCAAACTGATGACACGTTGCGTCCTCTTACGCGTAGTATGGCTACTGGTAGGCAGGTGCACAGGGTGACTGCTTCATCGTAGTCGCGCGTCTCGTCCCTCTCACCCGTGACCTTATGCAAGTAAATTCCCTCTGACCCCTGACGCGATCTGATTGGATCATAT